TCAGAATAGCCTGTCCCCTCCTCTTGGCTTAGAGTTGCTTCCAGCACCATGAGACTGTGGGGACACCAGCTCACAAGCTCCCCCTGCCCCCACACCATGAAGGGCCTTGAATGGGGAGGGAGCAGGTGGCGGGGGGAGGGGGTGGTGTGGGCTTCTGCCAGGAAGAACTGTTATGTCCTAAAAGGGGATGGGGACAGGACTCTGAGGGAGCTCACACAGACCCCCGCTTTCTGGGTTCAGCTGCATTCAAGGCCCCCGTCTGTTCAGTAGATGAATCCAAGACTTGGGGCTCTCCTTCCACCGGGGATAAAGGCCTGGAAACCAGCCTGGAGCGGCTGGGAGAGTGTGCCGAGACACCGGAGGGCAGAATCCAGAGAAGACCTGCCAGAAGGGAGACTTTCTGGGCTTCAATGTGGAGCCCTGGCATTTTGGGTTCCATCAGGCAAAAGCACAAACACTGAACCAGGGCAGAGCTTGAGGACAGTTTCCGGCTTGGGGATGGCACCCGGGCTAGGGCTTGAATGGGCCCCACGGAACCCAGGGCCGGGCCATCTCACCCTCCTGCAACCCATGACCCGATGCAGGACGTGAGCGCCTCCCCCTGCTCTCCGCGCCTGCTGAGAGTGGCGTTTGGTTCTGATGAATCCGTGTGTCTAAAGGAGGATGCTCACACTCTGAAGGGGCTCGGAAGCCTCCTGATGCAGGAACTGCAAAGGCCGGGGCCAGGCAGCCCGATACCTGGTTCTCAGGGCCGTCAGGAGGCCAGGCAGCCGGACCGCAGGCCTGAGGAGGGAGGCACGGCAAGGCCGAGTCCAGTTACGGGGGGACACAGAGCAGCAGTTCGAGTCACCCCAGCCCCACAGGGCCAGCTCTGCTCAGGGCCTGGGTGAGGGTCCCGTGTCAGGTGAGCGCTGGAGCCCTGGCTGAGCGCCCCCCCAACCCCATCCTGCTTCTCTTCTCTGGTTTGGTAAAGCACGAGGAAGGGTTTCCTGCTAGGGTGAGCGCCCCAATGCTGGGAAGTCGGCCTTGGAAGGGCAAGTCTGCAGTGCAGGAAAACGGGTGGTGGAAGGTGGAGGCAAAGAAGTCACTTGTAACTGCGGAGGTCCCACCCACAAGGCTGTGTTCTCAGCCCAAATCTAAGGCTGGGGATGAAGGCCTGAGCCTTCAGGGGCTAGAGTGACTGGTGGGCGAGTGGAGAGACAAAGGGGCCGGTTTAGGAGGGGCCTCACAGATGATCCTGGGGGGACGTCCTGTGTCCTCAGGCTGCAGCCCGGTTCCCTGGAAAGGGGCTCCCTCGGAGGCACCAGCCATGGGGTGCCTGAAAGCGGCATGGGGTCAGGGAATGGATGAGAAGCTCCAGAGGAAGAGAACGGGGGGGGGGGGGGGGGGGGGTGGGGAATGCAAAGTCTAAATGCAGTTACTGGGGCCCTTCCTTGGAGACCCGGTTCGGTAGGTGTGCAGTGGGGCCTGGTGACCAGCAGTGTTCAAAAGCACCCCCTCGGACCCAACAGGACCAGTGGGGAGACGGGGCATGTGGACGGGTGGGATGTGGCAGCGCCTGGGCACTCCCTCAGAGGGGCTGCAGGTGCCCTGCACCGAGGGGTGCTCGCTCCCGGCCGCCGAAGCCCAGGACTGGCGCCACTGCTAAGGTGCCCTGCTGTCGGCCCGGGGCCCGGCGGCTCCTCTCACACGGAGTGAACCTGGGTCAGCCCCGACCCCTCGCCCCGGGATGGGAGAAATTAGGGGTAAAGTGCCAATTCTGCCCTGAAGAGAGAACCTTGCCAAAGGACAGTACTCCAAAGCTGCCTCCACGGAACACGCACGAGCGGCTTTCCTTGTGGGGGCCCTGCTGCCCTCGGAGAGGGTGCCCCAGCCGAGGCCAGGGAACCCCGTTGATGCCTCTGCCACCTGCTGACCCGAGGAATGAGAGGGCCGAGAGGTTTGGTTCAGCTGCTTCCTTTATTAGAAACAAGTGAGATGTAACCGGTGGGACTACAATGCATTTGGTACCTCCTCCCCGACCCGGGAAATGGATGCCCCTCCCACGGCCCCGAGAAAAGCCCAGACAAAAGGGAAGCCTCCCGCTCCTCTGTTCCCAGGTTCCCAGGTTCGGCACACCTTGCCGGCAGTCAGTATCTTTGAATTTAATTGAATGAGACTGTCCCGCACAAGCTCCCAGGGGATAGCCCGTTGGCAGGCCTACCTTCACTTTGCAGTAGGGCGAAACCAAAGACGACCTGCGTCTCCTCTGGTTCGGGGGCAGGCGGGCCAGGCCACAAGAAGGCTGCCGCCTGGGTGGGTAGGCACTGGCCAAGGATGTGCTCGTTCCCCTCCCCTGGACTGACAGTCAGGTCCTTACCCTCTCCCAGATGGCAGCATCGTGAAGCTACCCAGACCTTTGGGCCGTCCTTTCAGTTGGTTAAATGCTGGTCATCTTTGGGCAAAGAATTCAGACCACAGGGACCTCCACACCTGGGCTTCAGTGAGCCAGCAAGGAAGGGGATCAATGGCAGTTAGATGAGAGTTGCAGGCAAGGCCTGAATTTCCCATAAACTGGGTGTTGAGGTGGCTTGGTGTGGGCCAGCCTCCAAACCAGACATCAGCGGTCTTTGAAAGTAGGCATGGGGGTGGGGGAGCCCTAGGTACACCTCCACCCAGAGCTGAGGCCTCCTTTCTGCCCAGCTCTCTCCCCACAAGAGATCAGAGGCCGTGGGAATGTGCCAAGGGGTCAAATGTAGAGTCAATCCAAAGGCAGGAAGTAAACGTCTGGAAACATGGAGTTCAAAAACCCAGTGGTGCCAGCAAGGAGTACTGGTGGCAGAGGGTGAGGGCCATGCCGGGGAGGCCCTCCAACCACAGCTGCCTGAGGCAGGTCCCAGGTGAAGAACTTGGGAGGCCCCAGGGTCGTTCCCTTGTTTGGTTCGCGCCAGCCATGGCTCCACCATCCTGCGGGGCTCCTTGTGGGGAGGCCCTGAACCCCGAGCAATGGTTCTCTCTGAGCTCTCTGACCTGAAGTCCTGGCAAAGGTGGAGTGAAGAACCTGGGAACTGTTTGGACAAAAAAGAGACTAAGAGCAGGCACCAAGCTGATTCCTGCAGACCGGCGAGGCAGTGCTGAGGGCTGGGCAGGATCCCTACCGTGACACAATAGCAGAGTCCAGGGAGCAGGCCACACGGTCTTGGAGGGAGACACGGGGGCCTTTCCAGGAGATCTGTTGTTTCTTCTAGAGCAGCCACAGACTCACGGTTTCCATCCTGTGACGTGGGTCAACTGAGGCAAAGCTCACTCCAGGGACTGTGGTGCACCCCCAATCTCAGCAACAGCTTGGCCCGCACCTGGCCCAGACCTGACCAAGCCAAGGACAGTAAGCCTTTCCAAGTTCCAGGTCCTGCCCAAAGTAGGAAAGTCGGGCACTTTGTTCTTTGATATCCTCAGATGCATGCACAGGGTAAGCTGCTCTGGCAGTTTGGGGCGCTGGGTGTCTGTGAGGCTGTAAAGGCAAGCCCCTGTCTCTCCGACTCCTCCCGTCTGTAGAACGCAGTGCACATCTTGCTAAGAACAGCAGCTTCTTTGGTCTGGGTATCTTGGAGTCAAGGAGTCAAAGGCAGCCACGATCGCTGGGGCATGCAGTTTGCAGCAGGGGGACAATGGGGAGAAGGGAGGCCCCTAGCGGCCGCTGATGAGAATGCAGGACAGTGGAGTCACGGGCTCCCGCAGCGGTCTACAGAGTCCAGCCCAAGCACAGTTTCCTCCAGCTCTGGGGACTCTGCACAATTAGCCCCTGGCAAACCCGAAGCCCGAAACTCCGCTCTGTTAGCCTGCAGAGCAGGGCTTCAGTCAGTGGGAACTGGCCAAACCTGGCCTCCTGGCTAAGGCTTCCTCCCCCTGGAGACAGGTTTTGAGAGCAGCCAGGAAACCCGCTCACACACACGCCCCACTCTCCCTCCGTTTACCTTCTCCTCGAGCAAAGTTCCATGTGAGCCGGCACAGCGCTTTCTGACAATTCCACAGCCCAATCCTCCCCAAGCTACCTGGCTGAGCACAGCGGAGAAAGGCCTACACGGACAGCCACGGGACCTGAGGCTCCATCACTTCTGGGGAGACTGACAGCATCATTAACCATCACCACCACCACCACCACAAAAATCCACAAAACATCATCAGCAAAAATCAGACTCACACCACGGCGACACGCGATCATTTCTGCCATCAAATCCAGATCAGTGTCTGGCCACCGCTCCTCGCTACCACTTGCAGGCTGTGCATCTTTGAAAGGAGCACAAGAGATGGCTAATGGATCGGAAGGCACAGGCCAGGGGCTGGCGGCTGAAGGGGTTTGGGTATGGTCCCCACGCCATCCTTGGCCAGCCACCCTAGGGCTATCAGGGCGCTGGCTCTTGGCTCTCAGACGAGCTCAGCAGGGATTGCACTGGTACGGTCTCCACAAGGTCCCAGATGCTACAAGGAGGTCAAAAGTCCCCTTCAAACTGCCAGTCACCCCAGGCAATGGAAAATCAATGTCATGTGGGACTCATTCCTCTAAGGTTGGTAACAACAGCTGGCTAAAAAGCCCTTTAAAATCAGTTGGCAGGATGACTTCCCACAGGGAGCAGGGCGAGGATGGAAGAAGGGACCCACAGATGGTCCCCACTGGCCAGTGACAGAATGCGGAAAAGGCCTGGTCCCTGCAGGACAGCCTGGCTAGGGTCGGCCCATCTAGGACTTTACCTGCGGTTCTGCGAGCTCTGGGCCTGCCCTCCACTTTTCCCTGCCTTCTCAAAGCTAATCATTCCAGCCCATCCAGAAGGGGGATGGAGAAGATCCCCCACATCCTCTTTCTCTGGCTCCCCCAAGAAAAGTCAATGCCCGCTTTCAGAACAAAACAATTCACTGGACCAGTGTGTTTGTCTGCCACTGTCCTTGGATTCTAATTCTGAGGAATGACCTGGATTCAGTTTTTCATTAGAGACTGAACATCCTTGTACATTTGGAACATGAAAGATATTTAAAATATTTATATATATATAATATATATATATATACTTTTATTATTCACCCGTTAACTCCATAATATGCCAATCACGAGCTAGTTTTCAGCAGTTACATTCCCTTGATCACGGCTGCAGAAGGATGTGATTAATTGGAAAACAGGGAGACCAGAGACACGGCTGGAGGTGACATTGCGCAGCCTACGCCATTGCAATACAATTGTCAAGTTCAGTGGCGGTTTGGTAAAGCCGGTTCAGTTCTGTTCCCTTTGCCAGGGATTCTCACGTTTGTGAAAATTGGACCAACAAGTGGTGGGGTTCCATTTCCTGGTTTGACTTCTCAGTGGCTTTATCCAGAATCTCACTGGCAACTGATTACTGTAACACCAGCCCAACCTAGGAGAGCCAACGGGGAGAGGCAGAGTTGAGCCGACAGTTGTCCCGAGTCTGTCCCCCTCCCCTCTCCCTCCACCCCCCCTCCCACTTCAGAAGTCCCACAGGACTGAGCCTGCACAGGGCCACTGGGCTGCGGGAGCGGGCTCACTCAACCTCTACAAGGGGCTTCCTACATCCATCAGATCCTTCAAGAAAGCAACCGCCAGCAACCTGAGCATCGCTAGTCCCAAGGCCTCTCTCCAGCTCGTCTGTCACTTATTTTGTATATCCTGATGATACCACAGCCTGGAGCTGACAGAGGAAGGGCTGAGGATCACGCCGGGCTGAGGGCAGGAGCCCAGCAGAGGAAACCCCTCAGATCCTTAGATTAGAACCTTTCTGGCCAAGTGCGGGCATCTGGACTTGCAGTTCCCTGAGGCGGTCCCCAACGCCGTGCTGAGGCGGCTCACCTCGTGGGGAAAGAAGCTGGAGACAAGCTTCCTGCTTTTGGGTGGCTCTGGGGCCTGTTCCTTCTGCCCCCCTCACAGCAGCTGCTGAAGGGGAATGCGGACCCCTGCCACTGCTGGGGCTCAGACCCGTGGCCCCATCTCTGCGGGCGACACGAACCCCCTGACCCCAGCTGCACTCGCATGGACATACCTTCTCTGCTCCCATGCTGGGGCATTTCCAATTGTAAAGGTAATACTGCAGGTTGCCGTCCCCTATGCCAAACTTGAGCTTCTCCAGGAAGGTTTTGTTCTCCATGAGATCCAGTGCATTGAACACGTCGAACCCTTTCTGCGGGGCAGCGGGGAGAAACAGGAACAGGTGAAGAGGGAGAAAAGCTGCCTCGCCTTCATGCCTGGTTCTATCACGTCCCAGCCTATGGCGCAGGCAGCCGGGAGAACGCTCTCCCTTCGGAAGCCCCGGCTGCATCCGCGTTAGATCCAAGCTCCAGTCAGCACCTCTCTCCAGGGGTGGTTCTCATGCCTCTCCGAACGCCACCCCACTTGGCCTCTAGCGGCCCACCAAGTGCATCCGTGTGTCCTCAGTGTCCAGGTCACTGCTCCTATGGCTCCAGGTTAGGCCTCCCCAAAACACTGGTCACTGGCACGGTCTTCTCTGGAGACCAAGCCCCGAAGCCCTTCCTCTGAGAAGCTGGCTCCTATCAGCGGCCCAGGATCTGTGCTGTCCCTTTACTCCCTGACACCCCAGCTACTTGGCCTCTGCTGTGTACCCTGCGCCTTTATGGCAGCTGATACGCTGCTCTCGGACCGTGACAGACACTTCCTAAATCTCACCCAGTTGACCAGAAGGTCTTGCAGGGCACAGGCTGACCTGGCCACCATCCGGCCGGCCCATGCGGACTCGTGTCAGTTCGGGCAGGACCCACGACGAAGGGCTGACTGACGCCGACCTCTTCGGGGGGTCAAAGAAGCCTGGGCCCCACCCCCCATGCCCTACAGTCAGCCACTCCAATGACTCACCACGACAGAGACCAATCTCCCCATTCCCACGCTGGGGAAGTCGTAAGGAGAACCCCTTTACTCCCGGAGCAGGCCTGGCTATTCAGGCTCCTTGGCAGCGCCGCCCGTGAGAACGAAACTCACTGAAATAAACCAGGAGTTCAGTGCCTTCACTTCACGTGGATGCTCCCTGCTCCCTCCTAGTCTTAGGCTGCTAGCTGAGAAGTGCTGGGCCCCTGCCTGCGCGGAGCGGGAGGCCGAGGAGGGCTGGAAGCCTCGGCGCACAGGCAGCTGTGCTCCCCGCTGCCCCCACTGCCCCGTCCCCACGCATCTCCGGACCCTCCGGTCTGCTCCTCACCATTTTGGCGAGAACAAGGGCGTCGCTCATGAGGTCTAGAAGAGGGGTCTGGGTGTGGACGTTGTAGAAAGAATAAGCAGCCTTTAGACTCTTGTGGGTCGGATGGTTCATGATGGTGGAGGGAAGCGTATAAAAACTCAGGAAGTCTGTCACCTCACCATTTGCGTTCTGCGGGGAAAACAACACTAGGAGGCAATGTCGCGCATGCACGGGGACCCTGCCATCTGGGAGCGGCACATTTCCTACTGCTCCCCCACCACTCTCAGCAGCTCTGCCCCCCGAGATGACTGGGTACACACCGAAACAGGGCGTGCAGGCAGGAGAGAAGGCACTGGCCCAGGGCACTTGAGGACAGAGCCAGGAGGAGAATCCAGGCCAGACTGCGGGCTGACCCTGCCGAGCCCCCTCCCTGCGCCTCGTCAGGGGCTCCTTGCGGCTCACATCCCCGCAGACTGTCGCTGACGCCTGGCTGGCACTACCACAAGCACGGCAGGCAGGGCTCAGAGGCTTACCTGAGGAAGAGGGGCCTAGTTCTCTCTACTCCGTTCCCCCACCCCAGGGACTGCGGGTAGGAGCAGAGGCAAGAAGGGCTGATGCCAAGTCCAGAGCGTATCCTGTTAGCAAGTACAAGCTACAACTTCCTATCTTCAGGGAGGATCGAGCAAGGAGGGTCAAGGAAGTCTAGGGGGCCAACACTGCCATCAGTCGGGTCTTCAGTCCCCGAGCATGGGGAACCTAGCCACTGGTGGAGAATGCCTCTCAGGGGCCCAGGACACCCCTCCCCACTCACCTCCACCACAAAAGTGTCGATGATATTCTCCTGGGGGTAAAACCAGTGCTCCACCTCCTCCTGGCTCATGACTGGTGTGAGGTGAAACTGCTTCAGGTACCTGGTGAGGAGCTGGTGCACTACTGGAATGTCCTTTTTTTCCATTGGTCGCAGCCCAGCTGTCTTGGGCGTCTGGAAGGCAGACAGACAACACGGTATCAGGCGTGCTGAACATGAGCCTCTTGACTCCCTCTCAAGTCCTGAGGGCACCGGAAACTCGACACTGTCTCCCTTCCTACCCCAACGCTGGAGGCACCCGCCCAGGCCATCAAGAGAGAACCCTCAGCCACCCCTGGCGGTAGTCTCTCACTCTCGGGCCGTCCGCGTGCAGGCGCGAGCCCTGCCTCATCAGTATCTTTGGCCCTCTCCCTCCTAGTGAAGGCCACCCTCTCTGGCTGAGGCTATCGCTTCAATCTCTTATCCACATGGCCCAGGCCACCCTCCTAAGAAAACACAACCCAGCGCGCCCCTCCCTTGCTCTAAACTCCCTGACATGGAGCAGAAGACCTTCCACCCTCTGGACCAGCTGGCAGCTCTGACTGTCCTTTCTGTCCCTCTAGCCTAGCAGGTCTCAACGGGGGTGATCCTGAGAATATGACTACACTCTGGGACATCTTTGGTTGTCACAACTAGAAGGGGTGCTATCGACATCTAACGGGTAGAAGCCAAAGAAACTACCAAACGTCTTATAATGAACAAGACAGTCCCCACGACAGAATTACCCAGCCCCAAATGTTAACGGTGCCATGAGGGAGCAAAACCCTCATGGATGTGCTGGGGTGGGCCCAGGCCCAGGCTACTCGTCGACCTGGCAAAGCCCTTCTTGGCTCCTCTCCTCCGAACCCTCGCTACCTTGTCCCACCGAGCTGTGGCTGATCTCCCATGCTGGTCTCTCTCCTCTAGACTAGGAGAGCCCTTCACAGACCAGCTCCTTGCCTAGGCATGTTGGAACCCCCAGGCCCAGCAGAGTCTACACCCGAGGCCCGCTCTGTCTGCGTGCTCAGACCCTGCCACACCAGTCTGCCTCCAGCCGGGCCTGCTGCAAGTTAAATTCTGAAGAAAAGCACCAAACTCCTGGGACTTCATCTTAAACCAGGATCCCACCCCACAGCTACTTTTTCTTAAGAAAGGCTTCAGTGGAATGAACCCATGTGATGCTCTGGAGTAAATCCTGGGGCTGACAGAACATCCCCAAAGGCTCAAGACACAAAGGCGGGGTCAGCCGAATCTGAAAGCAGGGTGGAGTTACAGTTTATATACCTCAAGTCACTGTGTGATTCAACTGCTTCTCTGTGTAGAAACTGCTTTTAAAAGAGCCGTTCCAGGACCACAGCCACCCAAATTCCTCACTAAGCCTGATGTCTCCAGGGAATACTTACTGACCTCATTTCTACATGGCAGCAGCTCCCAAAAGGACACCTCGAATCCTGCACTGAAAGGGGCTCTCACCCACAGGCAGGGAGATCCAGAGACATTCTTCTGAGCTATGACACTGCTTTAAGAATGCTACCTGTCTAGAACTCAGACAAATCTGTCTTTACAATAGGAGGAGGAGACACCCATCATAGCCCCCCCAAATCTGTTTTTTGGGGCAGTATCTAACTGTCACAGTCTCTCAAAACAGGACACGGCTGACCCGGACCCAGTGCTGGACCAGCCCGACCCCAGGGTGATTAAGCCAGTCTGGTGGCTGACGAAGGCAAGCGGGCACCAGTAACCGCGCTGACCCTGGAAGCTCTGCGGGAGGACAAGCGACTTTCAGGTCATTAGGATCCTGAAACCAGGCGCAAGTGGAGAATGAGGAGCAGCATTTCTTTCTTTGGAAAATTAGGTAAACTGAGACCCAGAACAGAAAACCAGCTCACTCCAGGCTGCCTACTCCTTCACTAGCCAAATCTGGATTGGGGGGACTGGGATTAGAAATCTGGGCACCCCTCACAGGCTGGGGTCACCCCTCCTTTCCCCGACCGAGGCCTGGCAGACGCTCTGTAGCTTATTTACATGGGCTCTGGGTGGTGTTGTGGCTCAGTGAGCAGGTTTATCTATTTATGCCTCGCTTGGGCTGCAGTCACAAAGAATAGGTGTTCTCTGAGCTCATCAACAGATGACACGGAAGCTAGCCCAGGTACAGATGCAAGAGAACTGAGAAAGTCAAACTAAAATAAAATCCTTGCTATAGACAGCAGAGACAACAGAGACAAAGTCGAGGGATTAAGGAAACTCTGAGTTGGGTCACTTTTCTGATGCCCCCGCCCTGCCCAACCTTGATGCGTTCCTGCTGAGGGCCCAGCTCTCAGCCAATCCCGCCCCCGCCCATCGCCCCCACAGCACCACTGGCCTCTGGCAGTCGGTAGAGCTTCATGGTACGCTGCATGGTCATATTTCTGCTCAGGTGGGAGAACTTCACTTCAATGAGCTTCCGTGGGTTTAGGGACCGATGCCAGTACCTGTGGGGGACACAAATGTCCTGTCCTCAGAGGATTCTGACAAGTCCTGCTGAGAGCGAAGGCATGGAGCTCTTCAGATGGCCAGCAGGTGGCGGGAGAGACACGCCAGGCCCCAGGAGTGCCAGTGTCGGTGGTGGGCTCTCCAATGGTCCCCCAGTAAATGCAGGGCTGCCACAGCTCTTCCCGAATTTTCTATTTTTCTTTCCCAAATTCTAAAAGCCAAGTCCACGAAAAGACTTGTAGTTCTCAGAATGTGCACCCTCCTCCTCCCTCCTCTACTGCATGTGCCTGGTGTTTCACTTCTGATGTTCTCGAGGCAGAGACTGTTCAGTTCCTTCAAACAACTTTCTGAGGCAGAGGCGGTCCCTGGTCACCCAGGTGTCAAACATGTTCTCTTTGGCCCACAGAATATTCAAAATAAAATTGAGCCAACCACTTAAAACTCTTAATCAAAATCCAGATTTGGGCTGGTCCTTAAAAACTACCACAAAACGCCAGCGGAATGACCTCTCATTTCCAAAAGGCAGGAATCAGTGGGAGCGGAGGGTGGCTGACCCCTCTGGACAGGGCACCCACTCTCCAGTCTGTTCCTACAAACTCCCCCTTCACTCTTCCGTGCTCCCCCCCGCCCCGGCTCCTGTGGGCAGCCACCAGCCACCTTGTCAGACAGGAGAGAAGCAGGATGCTCTTGGGCATGCACCGACTGAGGGCCAGAGCTGCGACTCAGTACACAAGCTCCTAGCGAGACCGGGCACACCAGGACTTCGAGTGCCTCGCAAGAGATCTTTACCTGCAGGTGCCGACAGGCTTTGGTAATACCACCCCGGCAGTGTAAACAGCTTGGAAAATGCCCTCCAGGTGAACTCGCCGGGTTATCTCCCGGATCAAGACCGGAGCCACCCTCTTGGAGCGCAGCTTCTTGTGGACACACAGGAAGTTGATCTCCACCATCTTCTTCTCTCTGGAGAGAAAGGAAAACCCCCCAGTACCCAGCTTTTAACGGGGAAGGTAATCCCTTCAAGACCCAGGAGCCACCACGTAGGGAGGGGGGCCTTCAGTTGAGGCTTGCGTTCTGCCACCACCTGCACCCAGCAGCTGGTACTTGGGGTCCCCCCAGGGCCGCTGCACCAGGCAAGGAACCCACTCCTTTCAGCCACACCCCACGTTCAAAAGTAGGTGAGACTCAAGCCAACTCCTTTATTTGGCAGCATCACCAGGATCTGCCTGGTGAATCCCCACCAGCAGGATGGGGGAGTCCCACCTGTACCTGGCAGGGTACCTCAGACTAAGTCAAGGGCTATCCTGGAATTCCAAGGGTTCTGACTCCCACAAGAATCCCAGGCTTATAAGCCCAGAAGACTGTGGCGGATGGTTCTGATGTTTCCAGGGAAAATGAAGAGCAGAGCTCAGAGGCCCCACGACTGTTCGGATGTTGAGTCACACTGGCTTGGGCCCACTTATGAAGCTGCTCAAGTGCACAACCGTGTGACAGGTGTTATAAGTGCAAACACGGGGCCCCTGTGCAGGTAGCATACTGGCCCTCACGGTGGACCCCATCCAGCCCAGATCGCGAACAAGAGAACCAGCAACAACTCTGAGCAAAAGAGACGGTTCCTGTCATGAATTTCTATTCCCAGGACCTGAGTTCCTTCCCTTCACCTTTTCTTTCGTGAAGGTATGTGCATCTTTTCTACCCTGCTACCAGACCAAGGAGGATGGCAGCAATGTGGGGAGTGGCGCTGGTGCTTACGTGTCATAAATGTGGATGTTCGCCGGGATGGCACTGATGAACCCAACCAGTTTCCGACTTGAGACCACTCGAACCCCACAGTGCCACTGGGGGAGCCAGCCAGGTGGTCGGAGAGCCCTAGAAGAGAGAGTAACCACTGACCGGCGCACCGGGCAGACAGCTTGCGCACCATAGCCGAGTCTGTTCTCACCTCCTGCTCCACTTCCCTGGAGGTTAAGAGCTAATTCTCTTTAGGGCTAAGCCCTCCCAGACACACATGGGGTCGAGCCAGAGCCCCTTCCTGCTGCCCAGCCCACCTCGCCTACTCACCCACCCAATTCAAGGCTGTCATACTGAGGACTCTGCAACTGATCGAATTTCTCTGTGCTTGCTCACTTTGCTAGCTTAAGCCAGATGACTGGCTCAGCGTCCAAGCGGTCCCATGGTTGTGAATCGATCATGGAGCCCCCGGAGCTCTGGTTTCCCCCCGCCCTCCGGGCACCATCATCCCCTCTTTCTGCCTACCCAGTCTTCCCTTTCAGGCAGTCCCTCTCCAGTTCAGCCTCATGCCTCTACACTCCGGGATACTCAACATGCGCTGGGAGGCTGGAGGGCTCAGCCAAGCAGGGCCATTTTCAGATAACCAAGCACATTCAGTAACGGGATAGAGAATGACTCTTCTTTCTTTTGAAATTTCATCCCTCCTTCCCTTCTTACACCAAGTCACCATATAACACATGATCTCTTCTTCTGGGGACCGATGCCATCAAGGCCTCCCTCACCCAGTCATTCCACCTTAAATAAGATTTCGATTCTTAGCTCCACTGGAAATAACTTTCCTTCAGATGTGGGAACTCAAAATGGACACCCTAATTTGCCATTCGAAGGCTGGTTCTCAGCAGGGATGAGAAAGTGGGCCCACCCCGCGCCCTGCCCGAGCCGCCAGGAAGGCCTCATGGCTCACCACAGCAGAAAGTCTGGGGAGTAGTCGAACCGGAACATATTGTCGTCGTCCTCCACATAGTTCTCATTCAGGAGGCCGTAGAGCTCTTTCAGCTGCAGAGACACAAGCAGCTGCTTCAGAGCCACCCGGCCATGGGCGGGAGAGGCAACCCCACCTCCCTGCGGCTCTAAGCTTTCCAGAAGGACAAGGCAAACTACGAAAAGCCATGTTTCATCTCATAAATCCTTTTCGCTCCGGGCATGGCAGGGACTCTTTTGGAACAAGCACCCTAGTTGTACGAGGAAACCGAGCCACCGAGAGGTAGAGCGGCAGACTTCAGTATATACAGTGGCAGAGCAAGAATGTCATCCAACTAACCAGCCGCTCCATCGTTAAGACAGGGAACAAATGAATAGATGAACAAGACAAACAAATGCATGGCAGAAAGGTATCGCCTTGGGGAGCTACAGAGCTTAACTCTCAGTCTGCCTGAGAAGCCAGGTGCTACTTAATACGGCATCTTGGGGGGGCACCTGGCTGGCTCGGTTGGTGAAGCATGTGACTCTTGATCTTGGGTTGGTGGGTTTGAGCCCCACAATGGGCGAAGAGATTACTTAAAAAGTAAAATCTTTTTTTTTTTTTTTTAAGATTTTACTTATTTGACAGAGAGAGAGAGCGCGAGAGAGGGAACACAAGCAGGGGGAGTGGGAGAGGGAGAAGCAGGCTTCCCACCGAGCAGGGAGCTGGATGCGGGGCTCGGTCATGACCTGAGCTGAAGGCAGACGCTCAACGACTGAGCCACCCAGATGCCCCAAAAAATAAAATCTTAAAAAAAAAAAAAAGAAATGTGGCATCTTGGGCAGGCCTCAGAGGCCAACAGATAGGGAGCCAAGGTGGGGTATGTGTGTGTCTGCTCCAACCTGCTTGGATCAGCTCTCAAGAGAGTCCTTAAGGTAGGTCTGGGTAGCATCTGTCTCCATATGATGGCAGGGCTCACTGAAAGTGGCACCCAACCACACTGCGGCCTGCCCAGGCCTACTCACCACACCACGGTCCCCCAGGTCCAAGGCATCCCAGGTGAAGCCCTGGGGCAGGGTGTAGGGCTCCTGGCGGATGTTGTCTTTGTCAGGCTCCACGGGCCCATGGGTGTTCACCACTTCTCCTGGAAGAAGAGCATAGCTGTGAGCCTCACCCTCTGTCTCGGCACAGGGGTGGGGTGGGGTGGGGTGGGGTGGGGTGCGGTGGGGGTGGGGAAGAGGGAGGGAAGGTGCTCAGCTCCAACGTCGACCACAGCAAATTCCTCCTGTCCCTAGGAGCCCTACGTCTGAAGAACACTCTGTGCTTGGCAACTGCAGACCATCTCTCCAGCTACCCTGAGTCTCCAACTGAGAGCGAACTCGTAGCAAAGCCTCAGAACAATCACTAAGATCCAAGGTGGTTGGTTTTTTGGAAATTCTTTTAAATCTCCCTTTGGTTACTAAATGGCAAACATTCATCTTGACTAATTTGGCTTCCTGCCTCCCGGCTGGTATAAAAACAACCGTCATGGTCCTGGCCCAGGCCCATCAACCTGGATGGATTTATAAGGAGTTGCAACAAGGCTGCTTTTGTGTCAACAGCAACAACAATGTACTGGGCCCATTGCTGAACCAGATGATGGCATCAAGGCGCCAGGCTCAATCCCGGCCCGGCCAGCCTTGGCTTTCAGCAATGTGGGCCAGTTAACCGCTGCTGCCAACTTGGTTCTTCGGTGCTTACAGAGTCCTACAAGCGTCTTTAGCCTGAACCACTGAATCTACATGATGCTGCCGGGAAGTTACCCTCTGACACAATATCTCCACCCTGGACCAGACGCCCCTCCTCTATGGAGTGCGTGGACAGTGCTCGGGGGCGCTCAGATGATACAGCCCTGATGCCCTCGCACAGCCAAACTGGACTCATGTGATACACGTGAACAAATCGATCACTTAATTGTGGCCCTTGGAATGATTTGGTTTCCACAGTTCAGAGCTTGTTCATATTCACACTTGTAAGAACGCAATGTTTAGTACATTTTGAAAACTGCCTTCGAAAGGGACCCACTCAGTACACTGCTTTGCTCCCAGCATCAGGCTCTGTACACACTCGGCACTCAATTCAGGCTTTTACTGACTTGCAGACCCGTGGCCCAAATACGTCATTCTAATGTGTTAAAGGTGGAGGTAACAGATCCATGGGGCAGGTGTAGTGGAAGAGACCACCTCAGGCTATGAGCTGAGGACAACACCGTTAGGACTGACCATCTCACTCTCTCTCACTCAGGACATGTACCAAGAACCAACCTGCACCAGGCATTGTGCACAAGGATACAGCGGGGAAAGACAGGGTCCTGTCCCGACAAGATGGACCATCTTCTGGGGAAGTATTTAATAAGTACTAGGGGTCACAAACTGGAAAATGCAGGCAACAATGGGGACACATAGCAAGGAAGCAACGGGCCACCTCCAATTAACCACCTGGCTTCCCAGGAAGTTTGCTTGGGAAAGAGGTTATATTTTGCTTCCCTAGTTTAGAAACCAGCCTTTTGATTTATTCATAAAATAGCCCTTATGAATTAATTTAATATAAATCAATCTACTTCCAATCCACTGCCATGTGAAATGTTTAGAGCCTACAAAGCCAAGAGGGCTGGCTAGACCCTTGGAAAGTTCCAAGGATCTCCCTGCTAGTCTTGTGGAGGTGCTGGTCAGTTCCCTGCCTCGTACTGAACTTATACCTTTTCCAAAATACATTTAACCTCCTTCTTCTTATTTTTTCCTAAATGATCTCCATGGGCAAGATACTGGTAGTCTTCCCCACTATACTACAATCATCTCAAGGCTGAATCTTTTTCCTTAGGCTGGTTACTAGGCCCTCCATGCAACGAGCATTTCCATTCACTCCTTCACCACATGTTCATGGAAGCCCAGAGCGCAGGAGTTCTGGGGCGGGAGCTGGTGAATGGGATGGCACAGGCCCTCATCATCATGGGCACCCAAAAGACAGGTGGGCAGGTACCTGCTCCCCAGCAGGATGAGGGCCCCTGACCTTATGATAAGCCAGCTCTCCTAGGCTGTTTGATATCTGCAAGACACAGCTGACAAAGCAGAGTTCCAGGAAACAACGAAAAAACTGACACCACTTTCAACAAGTTCACAGTCTGGGGTGCCAACGGAGCTGAGGAGCGGCCCTAGGCTCCTGCACTGTCCTCCAGCCAGCGCCCAGCATCACCGCTTCCGCCTGTGCGGAGAGGGTCTTCACCTTCACAGGGCTCTTGAGCGCCTCGCCTCCTGCTGCGCAGATGTGGGAGACTGCCACAGACAATGGTGCGGGTACAGCCAATGATCACTAGGCCATCTGGACCCAGTAACCGATTAAGGATGCCAGGAACTTTAAAAAGAAAACCCCGGACTTTAAGAGGGTTTCATTCTGTCATCAGGCTCCCGGCTCAGTGGGGAGCCTGCTTCTCCCTCTGACTCTCTCCCCTCTCATGCTGTTTCTCTCTTGCTCGCTCTCTAATAAATAAATAAATAAAATCTTTAAAAAAAAAAAAAAAAAGAGGGTTTCATTCTGTACACTCTCCCCACAAAATTCTCTCTGCCTTCCAACATCAAAGATCCAAAACAACGCACCACAGCAACCGTGAACGACTTGGAAGCAAAGAATGTGAGATCTGGGAGACTTTAAAGCAAATGGACAGGACAAGGAAGAGAGTGAGAATGGGGAGGCTTCCCAGAAAAACCACGTACAAGTCTGAGCTCTCCCTTGGGTAGCAGTTACTTGTACAAACGAATCTAAGAGTGGCGAAATTCCAAACCATGGAGAGGATCAAAAGTTTATCCGGGAACAGAATTGTGCATATATTTGGGAACACAGAACTGTCACTGTCACACAGCCTAAAACAGCTGCTGTTCAGAAGGCCCTTCGATGGCGAATTTAGGACTGTAAACGTCTAAAAAATTCCAGGTCTCTTCAGTGGAATACAACCTAATCACACCTCTCCCAACAAGGTGGGGAGTAAACAGTACACTTGATAGGCTTCATGGCCACTGGTGCCATCTCCCACCACTGGTAGGAAAAATCACGGAAAGAAGCTGTAAGTCGCACTGCTCTGAGGAGAACTAGGCTGGGACCTCAGCCACGCGGACCAACTGAAGCCTCTAACGTGCTGCTCTCTGCGGGCTGCCTCACGAAAACAACGGAAGCCTTCCTTTGGGCCTGACCACAGACCTGAAAGGCAGACTGGTCAGGTGCTCAGAGCAACAGCCCTCCCCCCAGGGCCCCACACCACACATGGCCCAGGAGGCACATCCAGAAGAAATACAGCTGAGCTCATTCCACTTTCCTGAGGGCGTCAGGGCTCCTACAGCACCTGTGTGGCTTTCTCACAAACTTTCTGAACAACAAAACTGGAGCACTTTCTACATTTACATAGAGTAACTGGACTGATGAGGAACAGAAGTCCATGGACCCCAATTCATCTCTATGAAGAACGGAGCTAAGTTACCCATTTGCAAATTCTTAATGAAAAATAAAATTGGACCAAAAACCCCAAAACCCATCTGAAAACTGGGCCAAGGGCGCCTGGGTGGCTCAGTTGGTTAAGCAACTGCCTTCGGCTCAGGTCATGATCCTGGAGTCCCGGGATCAAGTCCCACATCGGGCTCCCTGCTCGGCGGGGAGTCTGCTTCTCCCTCTGACCCTCTTCCCTCTCATGCTTTCTATCTCTCATTCTCTCTCTCTCTCAAATAAATAAAAATCTTTAAAAAAAAAAAAAAAGAAAGAAAACTGGGCCAAGATGCCTGGCAGCACCACAAAATGCCTCATCAAGCATTTCACTCCGAGGGAGAGCATGTTGCTCTCTACATTCTTCCTGCTCCTTGGCAGGGAGTGGTCACTGGGACCCATTCCTGGTAATGCCCTACTAACAGCATTACTGTGACCCAAAGCCTTGCTGGAGGACTTAGCCAGTGGGCCTAGGACCTGGCTGACCTGGGCAGCCTGACAGACAAGGCAGATGGGTCGGGCCAGGGTTCTGGAATAGCGCCGGCTGCCGAATCACCACTCCTCACATCCAGGCAGTGCTTGCTTCTGGATTGTGACTGAGCTGTCCAAGAACTGCATCTGCTCTAGAGCAGTGTCTGAAACCTGCAAAGTGGACACAAATGCCCCACCCCTGAGGTGGGGCCTGAGAATTTGCATGTCTATAAGCTCTTAGGCAATGCCCACCCTGCTGGTCTGAGGACCACACTTTGAGTAGTACTGCCCAATTATCACATAGACCCCACCTCTGGAATAGATCATCTCTGTGGGCGTAGCTGCTCCTCTCCCCTCTCCAGTCTTTGGCCCTGCCCTGCCCCCGCCCCCCGCAAACATTCTGGAAAAGACCAGTCACTTATACTTGGTATCTGAACGCATGTCTTCTCAGCACACTTTCTCAGTCACAGAGAAAATAGACATTGGGCCATCAATAGGTCCAGAATCATGGTGCAACCGCTCCAGAAATTTTCTGTCAACAGTGACATCTGAAGTTAGCCATCAACATTAGCTGTGGCTCAATCTCAGCAGGCATCTCTAACTCTACTATGTCGGTCTCTCCAAAATCCTTTGAGTTTTCCTGCTTGTCCCATCCCTTTAAGAGCTCAGTACAGCTTTTTTAAAGGGTGCCAAACAGACCTGCACAGGGCATTCCCGGGGTTGAGCCATCACTGTTAAGCAAAATGTCAAGTTATGTGTAGTTGGGAAGCATGCACTGGCTGAGAGACAAAGGGAAAGGGCTGGGGAGGGCGGTGCCTGGGTGTCTCAGTTGGTTAAGCATGTGCCTTTAGCTCAGGTCATGATCTCAGGGTCCTGGGATCAAGCCTCACATCGGGCTCCCTGCTCAGCAGGGACTCTGCTGCTTCTTCTCCCTCTGCTCCTCCCCACTGCTTGTGCCTTCTCCCTCTCTCAAATAAATAAAATCTTTAAAAAAAAAAAAAAGGGAAAGGGCTGGGGACTTAGCCCACCCCAGGGCCAGACATCTGCCTGATAAACAAGACGGTCTCTCTAAAAAATCTCTGTGGGAAGACAGACCCGTGGGCACACAACCCCACTCGGCCTGTGCCAATATACTGTTTTTTTTTGTAGATTTGTAGTAGATGATGATGGACTAAAGGAATCAGTACTTGTTCTCAGTATGTACTCCTGTGAAACAGTAAGGTCCCTGAGCATTAGTGTTTTCTATACAGCATTTTTAAGACCACCCTCTAAAAATAACCACCAAGGAACGCCAGGACTCTACCACCTTCCCCCTACAAATTCGGTGTGGCACCCGAAACACAGCTAAGACACATCCTTGCCCATCGCCTGGGGAAGAAAGCACATACATACCCAGTTTGGGGACAGGCTGCGTGTCCCAGAACTGGTAGCTTCGCTTGCTAGCCTCCTCCATGGTTTTGGCAGGCCCCTGACCCACTGAGAACAGTTCAATGGCCTTCTGTATTTCCTGGATCCTCTCGGCTGGCAAAGAGTTCATCTGGATGAGATAAAGTTGGGGAGAGAAAAGGCTCATTATGTTAATAAGCACTTTTGATTAATCACAAGTATAAGAGTTAAGGGGTGCAACTCAAGGAAGGGGTATGGTTCCTCCATCCCAAACCCAGAGGTCCGATGTCATATGACAACCAGAGAAAGAGCAGTTGGCAATGGGCTCTCTGAAGGGTGGGTGCTTCCTACGGGGTTTCTCCTTCTTAGCCTCATGATGTTTGGTTGCAAAAGGAATACATGCTCAGTGTAAAATTTCAAACAGTGCAGAAATATATACTACATATAGAAAGTAAACACCCAGCGATCCCGCCCCTTAAGTATAATCCTTATCATCAACAGTCTTAATTTAGGAGGTGTAGGGTGAGAAGAGGCAAATATAATTTCAGACTTTTTTGCATGCAAGCTCCAAGCACACACACGCACAATTTTCAAAAAACTAGAATTGGTCATATGGTATTATTCTACAGGCTGTTCTTCCTTAAACACTAAGTCTTAGGGATGCCTGGGTGGCTCGGTCAGTTAAGCGGCTGCCTTTGCCTCAGGTCACGATCCCAGGGTCCTGGGATCAAGCCCCACATTGGGCTCCTTGCTCAGTGCCCTTGCCCGCTCCCTCTGCCTGACACTCCCCCTGCTTGTGCTCTTTCTCTCTCTCTGACAAATAAAATCTTAAAAAAATAAAAAACACTATGTCTTAGAGACCCTTCCATGTGGACACGCAGCACTGCTCATTCAAACTGAGTCCACTTTGTGGATAGACCACAATATATTTAGCAAGTCCCTCGCTGATGGGCATTTTCGTGATTTTGTTCTTCAGCTTTACAAAAAATGCCATAATGAACTTTCTTGTACATCTATTTTTGCTCACTGGGATATGTATTCCCGCCAGATAAAGTCTAAGAAAGAGATTTTCTGGGTCAAAGGATATGCACATTTGAAATTATAATAGATATTGTCAATTTGCTCTCTAAAAAGAGAATATCGATTAATAATCCAATGAACACTGTGTTCATTTAATTAATATGAATAACCTAGTGAGCACGTGTTTCTCCTGACCCTCATCATTAGATTTACCAAATCTTAAACTCTACTAATCTAGGAGGAAAAAAAATATTAATTTTTTTAAATAAATAAAATCTTTAAAAAAAAAAGGGGGGGGGCGCCTGGGTGGCTCAGTTGGTTAAGCGACTGCCTTCGGCTCAGGTCATGATCCTGGAGTCCCTGGATCGAGTCCCGTATCGGGCTCCCTGCTCAGCAGGGAGTCTGCTTCTCCCTCTGATCCTCCCCCCTCTCATGTGCTCTCTCTCATTCTCTCTCTCTCAAATAAATAAAATCTTTAAAAAAAAAAAAAAGAAAAGAAAAAAAATATTAATTTTTTTGTCAATTTAACTATCTTTTCATATACTGATTGAACATGTATTTTTGTGTAAACTGCCTACTCTTTTCATTATTTTAAATTGACTGATTCAAATACTACAAACATTTTCCCAGTCTGTTATCTTTTTAACTTCTACAGAGATTATTTAAATTTGTCAATTTTTCTTTTATGACTTCCAGGTCTTATGTCAGGCTTACAATTATCTAAAAATACTCATCATTTCTCCTGGTATTTTTACTGTACCATTTTCTTAAATTTAGATTGAGAAGGACAGGGAGAACATAAACTAACATGTTTACATTGCTTATTCCTGGGAGGTAGGACAAGTGATTTTTTCTTCCTCTTGTTAGGTTTTTCCTAAATTCTTGACAATGAACTGCACCCCTCTCACAAAGAGGGAAAGGGAGGCTATGTAAATGGTATTTTGTTAAATGTTTCTAATTCCAAAGTGAACCATTCTGACACACGCTGGAGCCCAAATACCCATGAAGTCTTCCAAACACCCACCCCCAGACAAACTCATGAAACAAGTAAAAGTCTCTAAAGCCAAAGCATGGGCTTGGGCTAGAATCCCTGACCCAATGACCTGGCTGAGCCATTGCTCTCATCTTTAAATTATTTTTTTTAAGTAGGCTCTATGTCCAACGTGGGGCTCAAACTCTCAACTCCTAGATCAAAGTTGCATGCTCAGGGCCCTAGGTGGCTTAGTCGGTTAAGTGTCTGCCTTCAGCTCAGGTTATAATCCCGGAGTCCTGGGATTGAGTCCTGGGATCGAGCCCCAGGTTGAGCTCCCTGCTCAGCGGGGTATCTGCTTCTCCTTCTTCCTCTGCCCCTTCCCCTGCTTGTGTGCACACGTGCTCTCTCAAATAAAAATCTTAAAAAAAAAAAAAAAAAGAGTTGCATGCTCTACCACCTGAGCCAGGTAGGCACCCCACTGCTCACATCTTTAAAATGAAGAAGACCCCCTCCTCCCTGGTAGGGATGTTGAAGGTTTAGGATGGATTTAAATGAAGTGCCTGGCAAGAACCTGGCTGACATGGTGGTCAATAATGGTGTTTGATTTTATTTTTTTCCCCATAGGGGATTTAATATTGAGAACAGTAAAAAATCACTTGAAGCCATTTCTCAACAAGGTAGGAGATTCAAGCTGGAGTACAACATTTGTGGCATAAAACAAAGTGTGGGTATACTGGAGTGAGACTGGATTTCTTGTGAGGCTTAGACACTGTGCTAGAGGTAATTCTAAGAGAGGGATTATATGTTGAAGCTTCTCCTGGGGTCTACTCTGAAGGGGGCAGCACTTAACCTGAAAGAAAAGGTTTTCTTTGTTAAATGTTGTTTTATTTACAAAACAAACCAATCCCTCCCCATACTTCCGGGTTTCAGGTCAGTGTGTCAGTCTTAGGTCGTCTGGTCTAGGCCAGTGGTTCTCAGCTGTGGAGCTCAGCAGTGCACACTGTGCGACCCGCGGTTTCCAGCGCAAGGACTACGGCAATCAGAGAATGCTTGCAATACATAAAGGGTGGCCTTAAAAAGAGCAGGCCTTTTCTTCTCCCCGTGGCGGGGACTCAAGTCAGAAAGGACGGAGAACCACTGCTCTAGGCGGCAGGGGCCGTCAAGCGGGATCGCTCTCGGGCGCCTCACACAGCACCACATGCAGCCCTGTACCTGTGTGTACTGAGGGGGCAACGTGCTCAGGAGACAGTGTCTAACCTGCTGTGGCTCTTAAGGTACCGAGAGCAGTCTCATCACCTAGGTCTAGGGCAGCAGAGGGCCGCAGAGGGGTCCAACTCCTCCATCTTGAAGTAATACCAGTGGAGATGGTCAATCTGAATTGTTCTATACATTGACCCCCAAACTCTCTCCTCTGAAAAAGCAACTCTCAGTCACACGAAAACAGAGCCTCCTTGTTACCTTCACAGGCTGATCCTGGGCTGAATCTGTCTCACTGCCTTTCTCTTTCTTCTTTTTTTGTTTCTTTTTCTTCTTTTTGGCTCCAGTGTCATTGGCTGGACTCAAACCACTGTAAGACAAAGTAAATACTGATGCAGGGTTTTTAAAAAATCATCTGTTTTGAGCTACACTGACAAAGAGCTTTCTGTGGAGCCAGATCTTCCTTAATCAGGCCTGTTGGCTTCAGAAGAGGACTAGAGAATCCAGGTCCCAGAGGGGCATTTGGAGGACACCAGCAAACGCGGCTCTCCTCACTCCCACCAGCTCTGGGGGGTGAGAGTAGGGTGGGAGGGGGGCCTGTGCCAGAAATGTCCTATTTGTTTGGAAAGACCTTTTCAATTCTTGCTTTTATTTGATGTTTATTTTCTTCAGATTGCTAGAGTGCTGTAACCAAAGGCAAATGATAATTGTTAACAGGGCATTCATACCACCACCACTTCCTTAGAGCCCTGAATTTAAAATGATGACAGTCCAAAGCAGTCTTTTTGGACACCCTTCCTCATCCCCACTCCCACTCTCCCAGTGCATCAGGTTTATTAGTGAAATTCCCTAGCTGGATCTAAAGCTCAAGGCAGTACTGCAAAGGGAGGAAGAAAGGAGGAAAAAGGCAGTTTCACATTGCCGCGATCTGTGTCCAAGCTAGTGAAACAGTTGTGAGCACTGCCGAAACCAAGCCTGTAGGACCTAGGGCGAAATGTCAGCTGGCTCAGACTGGGTGATCACCACAGGCAAAACCCAGTACCTGGGATCTGGGGAAAAGAACAGTGAAGCACCCACCCACTCCTGCCACAAAGCGACTACATGAAACATGCCTGTGAGCCCAGTAAAGGGGAGAGGCCCTCTGCATGACACACCCCACGAATGCAGCAAAAAACAGCCTCGTAGCCACATCTAAACGTCTCCTACAGCCTTTTATTATTGTTTTCTGAGGTCTCTCAACATCTTTACTGAGACACAAATCATATACTGTGTTTCCTTCACATTTTCCATTCATTTGCTCCCTAATGTCTTTTCCCAATTCTTGTTGATTTCTGGGTTTCCTTTATTTTACCTTTATATTGGGTTTCCTTTATTTTATTGATGAATTTTAAGGTTCACCTTGCAGCTTAGCTTTCCTAATTATGGTTGGACAGATGACCCTTGAACAACACAGGGGCTGGGGTGTTGACCCCCCCACAGTTGAAAATCTGCATACAACTTTTGACTCTCCCAAAATTAGCTATTAAAAGCCTACTGTTGATGAGGCCTTACTGATAACATGCTAATTAACACAGATTTTCTAGTTGTATTATATACTATATTCTTCAAGTAAAGTAAGCTAGAAACAATATTATCAAGAAAGCCTAAGGAAATTAACATTTATAGTGCTGTGTTGTTAAAAGTTCACATGTAAGTAGACCTGTGCAGCTCAAACCCATGTTGTTCAAGGGTCAACTACAGTTGGTTTCTGTCATGTCTAAACTGATTTTGGCATTGTTGGCTTGAAAGTAATGCCTAATGTTACTCTGCCATCTTCCCTGGAAATCTTCCATTACAAAGTCAAAATTAGTAGTCCCACCTGACAATACAGTGAACCCTAATCTGCAGGATCCACTAAAAGTGCAGGGTTTTAGCTGTATATTCTAGATAACCAATTTTCAAAGAATTAAAATAGTATAAATAATGCATTTTCCATACCATTACGATAAATTCCATTTAAGCTTTATTTTATAATTCACAAAGTATACCTGGCCTTAAAATGTCTTGGGGTGATTATGAATATTAATTATTCTCTCATAGCAAGTGGTACTGTGTAGGGAGAAGGAATCTGCAGCCATGAGCTGCCATTTCCTGTGGGAGAGGTACCTATTCCTAGGCCTGGGAGGAGCGCTGGCATCCAGACTTCATGACCTTACACTCGGACTAAAGTTACCTCCAGCCTGTGCTGGATCTCCCTGACTTTGCCATCTTTCTGCAACATCGTAAGGTCCTGTCAGCTGTGGGACTCAGCTCTGTGAAAAGGCTTTCCGTACTAGAAAGTGTGTCCCTCCCATGCTTAGAAAGCCTACAGTGACAGCAGCCTCTTACCCGGGAAGGTATCATCAAGCCTAACTTTTCCATAGGCCCATAACCCTCAGTTCCCGGCTAGCTCATTCACTCTTCCTTTGCCCCGCCCTGGAATAACTGCCTGCACCCAACGCAGGGAGACAGACTATGAAGTCAGGGAGATCCAGTAAAGGCTGGAGGTTACTTTAGTCCAAGTGCACCTCCTACGTATTATCTTAATGGGACACAGAAGGCATACCATGAAAGGAAGACCGATAACAATCAGAGGGGGAATAAGGTAAACTCCTTAAAACCAGATGCTCTGCAAAACCCCCAAGGCCATGGCAAAGTACAGGAACCAGGAAGTCATTTGGATGGCCTAGAGAAAATTTTTTCCACTTAGTAATTCAATGTTATCATCTACAGGCCTATTTGTAGCCTATAACAACTCTATGTGGTTTTTAAATTCCAGACATATTCTCACTTCATTCTCAAGATTATATGGAGCACTATAAAATTTAAAAACTGGTTGATGTTAGGAAACAAAGCAGTGCCCCACCATTGATACAATGTACAAGCCCTTCACTTCAGCTTATGGAATGAGTTACGTGGTTCCTGTATATGAATTACCATAAAAAAATATTTAAAAAAAATTCTATGGATAGGGCGCCTGGGTGGCTCAGTTGGTTAAGCGACTGCCTTCGGCTCAGGTCATGATCCTGGAGTCCTGGGATCGAGTACCGCATCGGGCTCCCTGCTCAGCAGGGAGTCTGCTTCTCCCTCTCCCGCTCCCCCCTCTTGTGCTCTCTCTCTCAAATAAATAAATAAAATCTCTTAATAAAAAAAAAATTCTATGGATAAAAAAAGGTCAAGGCAAAGAACTGCTGTGTATCAACCTTCTAGATACTTACTAAACACATTTTCACATAAGGAAAATAGAAGAAATTACTTTCTCCAACTTCAGAAATCTTCACAAGGAAATCACTAAGGAACTACCTTCCTGCCTTTCTCTCTCTTCAGTGGAAACACTTCTGAGCAGCCATCGGGGACCCCACTTTTGTGGAAGGATCTTAGACTGAACTCTTGTTCCCTTTTATGCATCATCAACATACGAGTCTGACAAACTCCAAGACACACACTAAACCCAGAGAGCGAATTTCATTTTCCTTGTACTGCCTTGAATTCGCACATGCAGCTACTGAGCAACAATCCTGTTTCAACTTGTACAGCAGGCACAGAGATAGATGAATAACAACGGGAAGTTAAAAGAAAGAAGAGCCATTTTCAGGGAGCTGCCAGGTACTGAACTACGTCCACGAGAACACATGATGAGCTCACCATGGTCTTCCAGTCAGCAACCCAGATAGGAGGACCACTGACTCAGAGAAGAGATTTCTTTTTTTTTTCCCCCCGAAGATTTTATTTGAGAGAGAGAGAGCGCGAGCACAAGTGGGGTGAGGGGAGGAGGGAGAAGCAGACTGGGTGCAGTCCTGGGTGTCTCTGGGTTTATGACCTGAGCCGAAGGCAGATGCGTAACCAACGGAGCCACCCAGGGGCCCCGAGAAGAGATTTCCAAAGAGCTCACTAGGGTTTAGTTTTCAAGGTGATTATAGTAATTTTAATTATTCAAAAGAAACCAAGCTCAGAAGCTTTGAGAGTAAGTCTTCAAGAAGCCTCCCAGGAAGCCGCCAACACCATTTCAAAGAAGAGCTTCAGTTTGGATTTGGGGAGAACCACACCAGAGGACCCCACTGAAGCAGGCTAGTCCTTCTCTAAGAATTCGCATCATTTTTAAAGGGACCTGAAGTCCACACCCAGCGGGTGGACATCCCAGGGTGTGTAGGGATTCTGCAAACTGAAATAGCAATCTCTTAGAGAGCACTCTAAGCCTGCCAGGCACCTTTACACACTCCAAGGAGATGGGCCAGAACCATGGAATACATAAAATCAAAGTCTGACTTTGGTTCATTTGGTTCCAAAATAATGAGCAAAGAATTAGTGAAACTTGCCTTCCTGGGGAAAAGGGGGCTCCCTACAATGGAAAGGGACATAGGAGTTCACATAAAAATTTTGAAGTTAACTCTAAAGTTGATAAACTCAAGTCATTAATGACCAACCTAGCGAATATGGGACAAATTAGCAGAATGACAGAGCCAGGAACAGGGAAGACAAGCAATAAAAAAAATGTCCTTAGGGGCGCCTGGGTGGCTCAGTCGTTAAGCGTCTGCCTTCGGCTCAGGTCATGATCCCAGGGTCCTGGGATCGAGCCCCACATCGGGCTCCCTGCTCAGTGGGGAGCCTGCTTCTTCCTCTCCCACTCTCCCTGCTTGTGTTCCCACTCTCGCTGTGGCTCTCTCTGTCAAATAAATAAATAAAATCTTTTAAAAAAATTACTTATAAAAATGTCATTAAAAAAATTTTTTTTTATTTAAGTAGGCTCTATGTCCAACTTGGGGCTGGAACTCACGACCCCAAGATCAAGTGTCATGCTCTACTAACTGAACCAGCCAAGAGCCCCAAGAAATGTCCTTTTTTAAATGAAGGCCAAGATATTCTAAGCTCAAACACAGAAATCCCATGGATGCTCTGGTAAAAAGTCAGGGCTCGGGGGAGGAGATAGAAAATGAGCCTCAGTGCTGATTTCTAGAAACAGAATGCAGTGCCAGGATGTGTGAGTGGGCGGGAGGGAAGGGCTCGCTGACAGATGAGCAGCTCAAGCACAGAACTTCCAGATAACACGACAAGCAGGCAGGGTCCATAACACAGGCCTCCTCTCCATCCTACTGGGTAACAAAATCCACTCGAAAGGTGCAGGATTGGGGAACAGAAAGCTGTTATTGTGGGGGAGTGCAAGCTCAGCCACCAGGGCCGGTAAGATCTCAGGGCCACCCAGCTTAACTTGCTGTTCACAGAAGAGGAAACCAAGCCCAGACACGTGAAGCAAACTGGTCACCAACTAACCAACTGGTACCCAAGGACAAGCCTCCAATCTCTAAAGACACGGACCATTCCTTCCCAAACACCTCAGTCTTGTTTCTGTGGGAA